ATAATCCCTGAGCCTCGAGGAAGTTTACTAGCATTTGCCCCCAGTGATTCTGCTCCCATAGCCGAATGCTCCTATTCTCGATTCGTCATGCTCGCGTACTTCCACTTTGGCATTAAAGTCACCCATAACCACAGTGGTTTGGTAACTAGAAGGTTATGGTACGCATCCTCGCTCTGTCCTCGGATTTCCTATAGACCCACTATGTGCCGGTTAGTATGATTTAGCTCTACTTCCAGTTCGGCAAGGTTTTCGTTCAACCGCAAAGAGCGTCCGTTAAACGTAGCCAGGTAGAATCGCTTATGGTACCCTGCCTTAGCCTGGGGATTCTTAGCACCCCCTGTCGCACCGTTACCGTGGCCTGGAATAGTGCAACCACCGGGAACTGGGGCCTTAAATCTGAGTTGGTTTTCATTGGGGGGAAAATCTGCCTTAGTCACCACGCTTGGCGGGTTGGTGACCGCAGTCACTGGAATCCTTCTCTGACGGCGCTGCTGCCCGCAGTCAGGATTGATATTTATGGATTCCAGCATTATTATGTGGTTACCGCCATGATTCGGTCGCCAGAGACTCGTCCGTAGATTAGAAGGATGTACCACGTGCAGATGAGGTTGACGGTAGGGAGCCTCAGATGCAAGCTGCAAGCCCTTGCATCCCTATATACCAACTATAGCGACAGGCTTAATCATTTTGAAATGAAACCGCTTGTTGAGCGAAGATGTATATTAGACAACCTGTATAAGAAAGAATACAGGTAGGCTTTTCTAAGTGTATTCATTTTTTTAATTAAATTTTAGACATAAATAATGTTATATACCTAAAAAATGATAAATATTTAAAATCAATCGTAATTAAAGTCAAATAAATAAGTAAGGTCAAATAACATTGCGTACAACAAAACAATAAATAATCCAACAATTATTTATTTTGAATTAAAGTAAATGGCTCATAAAAATTTTAAGCAATTTCATAATATCCACAGCAGAAATTACTAATACGACTTTTCTTTATTGCATATTTTCTTTTAAATTAGGCGTTTTAATTTAGGCTTTAAATGTTCAAGACTTATTGCGTTATATTCCTCAACTAAAATAAAAATTAAAAATTATCGATAAAATTTCTTATATCGCATAACGACAACAATTATACCTAGAATCAAAATTTTGCCATCTTCTAGAAATAACACGTAGCCTGTTGGTGTACTGTAGTCCCAAGTTCAAACCTTCCCTTAAATAATGAATTTTTTTATTTTGTTTTTCAAATTTTGATTTGTTAATTAATTAATTATTTTTTATTTCCTAAAATGGATCAATGTGGGAAATAAAAAAAAATTATAAAAAACATTATAAAAATTAAAATATGTAGAAAAAGTACGAAAAAGTTTTTTTTAGTGTGAAAAAGTATATATTTTAATAAAAAAAATTATAAACAATAGATTACACGTTAAAAATTTGAAATAATGAAGTTTGTTTATTTACTGATATATCGTTCTCTAACTTTTTCGTTCAACTTTGGACGAATACAATAATATTTCGTTGTAATTATTCATAGAAAATCAACAAAAAGTCCCTCAAGATGGGAAGTAAATTGCAAGTGCCCAATGTCCAAGTCCAATGCCCAAGTCTCAATAGGCCCTCATAAGGGCCCATTGAGATTTTGATATTTTGCTGATTGCCTGATTGGAGTGAACAAATGAAGATCGATGTTATATTAATATTTAATGTAATCATGTCTAAACAAAGTACTGTAGGTAAAGGTAAAACTCGAAAAAAAACATGAAAGGAAAAGTAGTTTACTAGTGTTTCATTATCATCATCATCATATCAGCCTGTTAGAGTTCACTGCTGAACATATGCCTCCCCCATAGATTGTCACGAAGTACGATCGTGAGCCACCTACATCCATCGACTACTAGTGTTTACTAGTCTGAATTTGAATTTTTTTTCCGAAGTCTCAATTGTCTTGAGTTGCCTCTTTTGTGGAGGCCCGGGGCAGTTGCCCCGGTTGCCCTCCCCCAAATCCGGCCCTGCATATGGTATAGATAGAGCCGTGATAGCTCAGTGTCCGGGCGCTCGCTTTTAATTCAATATACTCAAGCAACCTGAGTTCGATCCCCGGTGCCGGCACTAATGAAGTTTCTAACTTTAAGTGCTGACTTATCACGTGCTCCGCGGGAAAGGAAAACATCGTGAGGAAACATGCATATTTTCGAAATAATAACAACAAAAAATATTTTTCCAAGATATGTGAAGTCCGCCAATCCGCAGTGGGGCCGCGTGGTGGACTATGCCCTGATACCCTCTGTATAGAGGAGGCCTTTGCCCAGCAGTGGGACATGTATAGGCTGTAGTACACTCTACTTTACTTTACTTATATGGTATTGTGCTACATGACAAAGGTTTTCAAAATGCTAGCCTCCAGTAGTAGCCTTTCATTTTTTAAAAATATTTTTATTGAAGAAGATAACAACAAGTAAAATGTTGCAAAGCCGTGACATTGGCAATAGAAACACCAGTGTTCAGTTGTATTATTCGATGTTTCTTTTTCTCCTTGTATACTTTGTCTAACGACAATAATCGCACGTTCCCATTGCTTTACCCCGCTACGCGCTATCTGATAACATGTAATAAAAATCTACATTTCGGCCATGCATGACCCAACCGGTAGTACGTCCTAGTATACACCTATGTGCGACATGCCTCAGCTATTTTGTTTCTTGTTTTTGTTGAATGTTGCATTAATGCTTGCTTTAGTTGTTCACATTCACTGTGCTTATTACTTTTTTGTTGGCAAAACCAGTAATATAATATGTTGAATTTCCTGCACAGAGAACAAAACAGTGCGTCCGTGAATATAGAATAGAGACAGGTCACAACACTTGAAACAATACATACATAAATATTTTAGGACACATTTATACACCACGTTCTCTAGTCCCAAACTAAGCAACGCTTATACTATAGGTACTAGATAACTGATAAACATACTTTTCCTTTATAAATAAATACATATTATACATATGTATACACACATACATCGTTATATATTATTCAACATTACATCTTTATAAATTAAACATGTACATCGTTATATACGCACATATCCTCATGTTCGGAAAAAATATCCATCGGAATAAATACAAATATAATTAATAACGGTGCCTTTAGTTCACTGCACAGCAAATGTTTGCTATTTGGAAAACGATACTAACATTTAAATTTTACATGATTATTTCACTTTTCTTCAATATTTTGAAGAGTTATTTTTATTGACTGTCAGTCTCCAACAATTCATTATTCTTCAATCACCTATCAATACATGTTTATCTGTTGTGCATCTAGCAAAAACTGTTTCAAAAAGTCCTATCTTCCTAAATTCTAGTCAAGCTTTCCTAAATTCTCTTGTATAAATATATATATATATATATATATATATGGATATAGTGGATATAGTCCGTAAGTGTAGCAAGCTGAAGTGGCAGTGGGCTGGCCACATCTGTCGTAGAACCGATGAGTGCTGGAGCAGACAGGTTCTCGAATGGAGACCACGTCTCGGAAAACGTAGTGTCGGACGTCCCCCTGCCAGGTGGACCGATGACCTGAGAAAGGTCGCTGGTAGTGGCTGGATGAGGAAAGCGTAAGATCGTACTCTGTGGCGTACTCTTGGGGAGGCCTATGTCCAGCAGTGGACTGCAAAAGGCTGATTGATTGATTGATTGATATATATATATATATATATATATCTGTGATAGCTCATTGTCTTAGCGCTCGCTTTTAATTCAATGAGCAACCTAAGTTCTATCCCCGGTGCTGCCACCAATGAATTTGTTAATTTTAAGTGCTGACTTATGACGTGCTCAAAAGTGAAGGAAAATATCGTGAGGAAACCTGCATATTTTAAAATAATAATTAAAAAAACATTTTAAAGATATCTGATGAAGTTTGCCAATCCGTAGTTATGCCTCTAAGTGGACTTTGCCTGTACCTTCCGTATAGAGGAGAACTTTGCCCAGCAGTGAGACCTATATAGTCTGTTACTTTACTTTAATTTTACTTGTATAGAATATTTTTCTTGCCCCACGAACTATAGTATTCTTATTAGGCTAATTATAAAAATAATACAAAGTTTAAGTTTTGATATATATTAAAATATATAACGCAACTCGTAATCAGAAAATCGTTTTGCTCGTTATCATTAACTCGAACATTGCAATGTTTGAATGAATTGTAAGTAAATTAAATGTATAAATATGTCGAATTCTTTTTAATCTGAGAAGGTGGCAAGCATGGCGATTCACCTAATGTTAAGTGATAACCGCCGCCCATGGGCATTTGCAACATCCGTATGATTACAGATGTGTTGCCACCTTTTAATAAAGTGGGCTAAGGCTACCTCACTCGCCACTCGCCAGACATATGGCAGAAGTGTAACACTTCCCCTTCACGCTGGTCCTCTGTGAGGTCGTGGTACTTACCCAGACGGATCTGCCCATTCATGCAACAGCTGAAGGTGTTGCGTAACTCTACCAAAATTAAAGACATGCAGGAATATAAAATATCGTTATTCATTAATTAAGCGTTATTTACTATTGTGTGATGAAATAAAAAAATATTCAAAGATAAACAAATCAAATCGAATGTACACAGTTGGCAACATCGTTACTGACAGGTGTTTACGCGCCAAACAATTGTGAACAATGGTTGCGTTTTATTGCCGTTTTAAAGTTATATCTTTTTAATTTTGATTTGTTCATTCAATTTTTTACTGCAAGATTACTTTATAATTGGTATATTGAGTTTATATATAAATTGTGTTTAAAGTTTTTGTCAATCTGGCAAAGAATTACTGAAAATGAACTCATGGAGGCGCCAAGTCCATAACTAGACTTTATTGCAAAAATTTCTAACAGAATACATCCACTATTAAGAACAGAAATCTTTGTCAGTATGGCTGCGACTACACCACGTCGTTCTTTGCGGATTCCCCATATGCATACGCCAAAAATGACGGAGCGTAAAAAAGGGTTATTTCAGAGCGAAACTGCCCCCCAGCCTGAATCCTTGACGAAGCATCGTAAACTCCCTGTAGTCGACAGTGAGAGTGACAGCGATGATTATGACCTTGGTATCATCAGCACGCTTGATTCCAGTTCCGGAGAGGAAACTGATCAAAATACTCCGACGACCCCTGATCGGTCCCTTTGGCGTAAGTTATATAATGTTTATTTTACTCTCACAGTTAATTTCTCTATACATGATAATATTTATTGCTTATCTATTTCATTTCCATTTATTGTAATCGCCCCTGTATTATATGTTGTGTTGATTAGTTTTAAATTTAATATCCCTCTTATTTTTCATTTGATTTAAGTTCGATTTATTGTAGAAACTATTATCTAAAATTAAACAGGACAAGAAATGTTTTTGAGTCCTTAATCAATATGAATCTGCATTACTAGGTGCTTCCGATATTTTCCAGTTTTATTTATCATGTATATTGTGGAAGTTCCATTCAGTAACACAAGAAGATATCACATCTTCACAAGGGACCTGCAGTGAAATAAAAGTTTTATTCTTTTGCAAATTCCCATCCCTTAATTATAACATGAAATTCACTTTAACAAAGATTGAGATTGTAGGACTGTAGGAAAGGGTAGCAATAATCATCATCAGATGAACCTACTGTTTTTAATACACCAACATAGATGATGAATCTTGTGATGTTAATTATCTGTATGATTCCATTGAGCTAGAACATACTGTAACTGTGGTAGGGCCTTGCACAAATGGGCAGGTCCATCTGGGTAAGTACCACACCATCACAGAAAACCGGCATGAAGTAGAAGTGCTATATTTCTGCGTTTTGACTGGTGAGTGAGGTAGCCGGGGCCCACTAAATTAAAAGGTGGCAATGTATCTGCAACCCTTTGGGTGTTGCAAACGTCCATGGGTGGTGACTATCACTTAACATCAGATGAACCGCTAGCTAGCATGCCACTTTTTAAAAAAAATATGAAGTTTATCAAGCATCTATAATTATGATGCTACCAATAACTATATGAATGAAAATGATCAGACATTGGTAAATTAAATGAAAGAATAAAGTAGCTTACTCTATAGTATTGTTATATTTCTGTGATTTCATTTGAATCTCTGTTATTAGTCTATTTTTTACGAATCAGTTTTAACATTTAATTGATAATGAACAACAGTGCCATTATTGTGATACAATTAGTGTCAATACCAATAAATATCATATTAATCTTTCCATAAGGAGGATTTTTTATTCATAAGGAGGGAACTTCAAGATTCAATAAGGCACTGTGTAATAATTCAATACAAAGTATATCAATGTTTAAAAATTCATTCGATTATCAAATAAATTCTGTTTAAGAAACAAACAGGCAAGGAAATTAGGTACTAAAGAACTTGGGATCTTATTTCTGAGTTTCTTACAGATGAAACACGAAGCCAAACAAAGAAGTTCAGGGAAACCCATGATTTAAAGAATTTTATTAAATCGCCGTTTACTTTAAAGAAGTATCAGACTAGGTACTCATGCCCAGAGTCAAAATGCGGGGGCTCGTCATCCACTCCAGCGACCCCTCATTTTCGAAACCATCCTGTAACGCCATCGTCTACTCATTCTTGCACTAGCATACATACAACTTCTTCTACTTCAAGCAAGGCACGGAAAAGCCTAGCCAGTCTTATAGCAGACACAGAAAGTTGCAGTAGCTCCCTAAAAGATCTCAATTTCGACTCCGACTCGGCAACGGACTCGAAAGAAAACACGCCCAGTAAAACATTACGAAGATCGGCGCGCAGGCAGAAAACGACACCGAAACTGCACAGTTTCAAAGGTGTTTTGCTCGAGCAGAAGAAAAACGTATCACCAATGAAATATCCTGTTGTGTGCTTAACGAAGATGGACATGACAAGTCTCGTGTCGCCGACGCAGATGCTCAAAACACCTCACACAACGTCTGAGGTAAAAGCGTCGCCGCCGAAACTGAATCACAACAGGCGTTCGGCATTAGAAATAGATGAGAGCCCTGAATCCTTGTCCAATGGCGAGAAGAGTCATAAGAGGTTGCAATACGACGGCATGTCTGATATCGGCCCGACAGCCAAGTACCCGAGACTGGACTCGAGCACGGCTCCCAAAGCGCGCTTGTCGTTGTTCAACAGCGATAGGCTGAAAGAGATTTTGTCTGCTAAGTCGTTCTATGGAAAAACCAACCCAGACCTGAATGTCAGCGTTACCACGAAAATATCGCATGCCATAGAGGCCACGAACAGCCACCCGCGCCGTCCATTCGTCCATTCCCACTCGGCGCGACGCAAGAGGAAACCGGGCCAGATAAACTTGGGCGTCAAGCACAAGATTCGCAAACCGAAATACAACAAAAGCAAAACGGCCAGCGTGAAGGGTAACAATTCGTTTCCTGAAACGATAACCGAAACTCTCAATAAAAACGCTACGGCGAACCCTAAGGCAAATGATAGTGGTGTGTTCAATTTATCACCGGAGTTGGTGCAAGGTAAGTTTAAAAACTCTCTAGCTGTTACTTAACTAAGATAATTTGAGTAGTTATTGTGGATAAAAAAAATATTCCCTTATTATTTTTCTTAGTATCCTCTCAATTATAGACTGGTGAACTGAATAACACATATTTGAATAGAAAATTATATTTCAAATGCAAAGTATCTCTCAGTAAAGATGCTTTTTACTAATGTAACACTACCTTATAGCTAAAGAGGGTTTATAAAGCATTTGTGCAAGAGTTCAATGTACATTGACTGGTGGGGACAATTCGGTTGTTCTGAAAACCTTTATGCACAATAAACATCATATTGTGACATGTGGTAACAAGGTTCAACAAAATGTAAAATTTTAGAATAAAATGTAATATAATATTGTAATAATTATTAAAGGAATTGGGAATTAATCTGTTACTTTGCAAATGACAGTTGATTAATTTATATAAATTTACATAGATCTATTTTTTTATGGCATGCAGGCCTTGTATAATAAAATATAATCATTGTATCTTTTTGCAAAAAGTAGCATTTTGTCATAACTAAAACATAGTATTTTAGATACAACAATGTTAATGAAGAATTTAAATTATTTTGCAGACAAAGTTGATCCATTTGTTGAAGAGAAGCAAACTATAGATACTCTTCTAAGCCAATGGACGGAGGAGGAACTTCCAGAATCAGAGTTAATATTCAAGCCAAAGGGGGATGTCCCATGCTTTAGCAGAACAATAATAGAGGAGACTAGTCAGATTTTTCAACCGGTTACAGCTATACCTGTAGCCAGCGTTTCTCTACCACAAGACTCTGACGCTATCATTGTTGAGTTGGGTGCCCAGAAGAGTCCTGACAAAAATGCAAAATCAGTTGAAGTGGTTACAGCTCCACAAGATGTTGTTATGGTGGACTCTAGTGTGGATACAGAGGACCACAATGAAACCGAAAAGACCGGAGAATTCCTACCCGTTGACGGCGGATTTATCGTAGTTGCGAGTGAGGAAGTGCCAGGTATTTGTCCCCAACTCTTAAATATATCAGTCCTTACAATAGTTCAATCAATGGCTCGCTGGCGCAGTTGTTAAGCTGGCTTCGGTGTTAGTGGTCGTGGATCGTGGGTTCGATTCCTATATGGGACAAGTATTTGTGTAACCCACAGATAATAATAGTTCCTGATGTAGATGTTCGTCCCCAAGGGGGGTTAACGGTTAAAAATGGGCGACCTGTCGTAAAAAAATAAGCGCATGGCACTAACAACATGATTTACGTGTTGTGACTACTGCACCTAGGTGATATAAAAGACAAGAGAAAAAAGAAAATAGTTAAATCAACAAAATGAGTTGTATTAACTATAACTTCATAGAACCTAAAACATACTACGTAGTGTAAATGTCTAAATATTTAATTGCAAGGTAAGCTCCCCTTCTTTCAAATAGATTTCCATGTGGAAATTAGGGAGGGCTTCAGATAAAGCTGATAGCTTTTTGTTTTTAACATAGATTGTGTAATATATAAATATGCTTTGGATCCTAGACCCTCTAATATCAGATCTCCTGTTAAGTATATGCTTTTACATTGCAGAGCAAGAGGAGTTACCGGACCTGGATGAAATCGAGCGCGAGTTGAAGATGCTGGACGAGCAGATTCTGCAGATGGCGCAATCGAACAACATAGACGCTGAGGCTGTGTTCGCATCTACTGAGACAAACATCCCACCCGTCAGTCCCTGTAAGTTAATTCATATCAATATATCAGAAGACCCTATTAATAAGACTGCTCTCCGTCCGTCCGTCTGCACCTGGCTGTATCTCATGAGATACCGTGAAAGTTGAAATTTTCACAGATGATGCATTTCTTTTGCCACTATAACAACAAATACTAAATAACAGCATAAAATAAAAGGTATTTACGGGGGCTCACACAAATACTGTCCCATGCGGGAATGGTACCCATGAACCCCGGTGCAGAAGCCAACAGACGAGCAACTGTGCCATCGAGTTCATTCTATCTTATAGTGAAAGGTAACTTTGGCTAACCTGAAATTGGTTTAGTTGGTAATTCTGTCAACTGTTTTCACACACTGCGTTGTAAGTTCGAAACAGGTCCAATCGATAAGTTGTTATTCTATCCCTTGGTGTGCTTAGAGCTTGTGTTATATAACAATTTTTAACTTTATCATCTTACGGTGATACAGGAATGATCTCCCAGTGAGGGGAGAGAGTTCTAAAACAATACAAACTATTGGGTTTAGAGAGTGGAAAAACACTATGTTCATCACACAATATTTTTCCAGTAGTGGGGATCGAACCCACACCCTCTGGCGCAAGAGGCACGGTCACTACTCCCCACGCCAATCGTATATTTCGTGTATATTTAAATGTACAACAGAAATGTTTACACATAGATATCATTAAAGCGACAAAAGTTCAAAGACAAAAGGATTAAAAGTTCAAATCAAATAGCCACATTTAATTACGTCAAATCACTTCCAATAAAATCATTGTTTATTTGGACAACAAACAAATATATTTTTCCGTTACAGCCATCACTACGCCAGAGGCTAAAAGAGAAGCGCTGAAGCAGAAACCGCTGAAACTGTTCCCGATATTCAACAAACCTAACCCCGGAATGTCTACTCCGTCCAAAGGTGATTATTAAAATCCAAAACCACCCACAGATTATAAATACCGATAACAATAACTAGGTAGGGTCAGCACAACATGTAAATCACGTTGTTAACGGTAGCTAGGTTTATTTTGATGCTTACCATTGCATATTTTAATCGATCAGATGTCTGACGGTCTCAAATAGAAAACTATTTGACGAAAAAACTTCTATGAAATTTAAAAATATTGAGTAGCCCTCAAAATATATGGGGTCATAAAATTGCCGGGACTACAAAATAAAAATTGAGAAATATCTAAAATTTTGATAACAGCTTTCTAAAAAGGGTTATAACGATTGCACTCATAGACGTAGTTAGCGCTTTACGTATATTCATGTAGCAATATCATACTAATCTAGTAAACTTTAATGTGCACAAAACATTTGTTTAAATATAATAATAACCACTAAATTGTTTACCAGTTTGTACCAGTTAGTACAAAAAGTGTGTAAATAAATGAATAAATAAATAAATAACCACTAAATCAAAACCAATAAATGACATTTCATTGTGACAAAATGGTCAGAGTAGAAAATGTGACCAATTTATGATTCAAAGCTGCATCATTTCACTAAACAAAAGAGGAATGTAAATGAAACTAATTTTACGGATTTATCGCGTTTATTTTTAATTTTAATTCCGTAAAATTTTAAATCCGTAAAATTAGTTTCATTTATAATGTGTAATCGCGTAAATACAAGAAATTATTAAAAGAGGAATGTGTAAAAAAACTCGATCAACTTTAATTTAAATATTCCCAATACTATAGTCAATTTGTGATTGAATTTCTTACATTATTTTGAAATTATCCCGCAAAAATAATACACTACTCGGGGTCTCGCGTAACAGATGCTCAAGTTGAGATTACCCTTTCCACAGGCGCCGAAAAGAGCAGGCGTTCGATTCTTAAGTCTATAAGCAACCAATACGTGATAGACGCGGGCCAGAAGAAGTTCGGCGCGACCCAGTGCAACGAGTGTGGAGTTATTTATCAGGTGAATAATTTGCCACCTACACGGTGGTATGCCACACGAATGGGCAGGCTCGTCCGTGGAAGTTTTTATTTTTTTTTTATGTGAAAAGTTGCCAAACGAGCAGACGGTTCACCTGATGTTAAGTGAATACCACCGGCCATGTTCATCTACTACACTCCAGGGTTCCAGATGTGTTGACGACCTTATGGAAATTGGGCTCCGGCCACCTCACTCACCAGACGAAACGCGAAAGTATTATACTTCCACTTTACGCCGGTCTTCTGTGAGGTCGTGGTACTTACCCGGACGGGCCTGCCAATTCGTGCAACAGCCGAGGCTGCTGCGTGACCGTACCACCGTGGGTGACCGTACCACCCGCTTAGCAGAAGTACAATACACTTGCGTTTCATTTGCTGAGTGAGGTAACGGGACCCATTCTTTTTAAAGGCTGGTAAAGCATCTGCAACCCTGGAAAATTAGTTTCTTTAAAAAAATGTTTCAAAAATAATTATTTTATTAGTAGTTATTGTATTAGTAAAAAAATTCTTTAAATGTTTATTTAAAAAAAAGTAAGCTATTGTTAAATTGAAATATTTCTAAGTAATGTACTTATTGATAAAAGCATTTAATTTTAAGCTGAATCAAAAATATGTTAATTCATACATTTCAATGTCATACTTATGATTGCAGATAGGAGACCCTCAAGATGAGCATGATCATTTAGTTCACCATAATGCCACGGATGTCCTCAAGTTCAATGTAAGTTACTTTTATAGATTGACCTGAAAAATAAAACTGATATGATTATTGATTGCCTCATGCTGGCTCCTATGTCAGCAATATGTAAAACTGTAGAAACCGTCATACAATTTTCTATATCTTTAGATTTTTTGGAGTTTATCCAAAACTTCTTTTAAAAGCTTTTTACTAAATCGAAATTGTCACCATAATTCTCTCTGAATATAAACACTTGTTTTTTTTAAAATTTATTTTTTAAATTGTTTCATACGAACCGAGGCACTGTTTAAGATTACTATTGGGTGGTTAATTCTTATCAATTATAGTGGTTGACAACAATAATCCAAACCGAATGGTGATATTTTTGTGAGGCTATAAGGCGCAGTCATCGTCGGCGACGCCACTTTGTCCTTGGGCGGCGGTAATCACTGAACATTTGACAAACGGCCCGTTTGCTTGTCTTACAAAAAGAGAGTTCTTATTGGGATTTAAAACTCAACCTATTAAATATATTTCTTCTACATTTTTACGCAACGTTCCCTAGTCCCAAACTAAACAACGCTTGTAATATCGGTACTAGATAACTGATAAACATAGTTAAACATAATTTTCTTTTGTAAATAAATACATAATATAGATATATAAACACGCAGACATTGGAAAAACACTACGTTCATCACACAAAATTTTTCCAGTAGTAGGGATCGAACTCGAATCGAATCACACCCTCTGGTGCAAGAGACAGGTTCATAACTCCCCACGCTGATCTGGTCGCCCAACAATTAAATATTATGGTACTAATCAATAAACAGCTGACATAGAGCCGTGATAGCTCAATGTCTGGGGGCGCTCGCCTTTAATTCAATTTACTCGAGCAACCCGAGTTCGGTCCCCGGTGCCGGCACCAATGGAATTGTTAATTTTAAATGCTGACTTATCGCCTGCATATTTTCGAAATAATAACAAAAAAAATATGTGAAGTCCGCCAATCCGCAGTGGGGCCGCGTGTTGGATTATGCCCTGATACCCTCTGTACAAAGGAGGCCTTTGCCCAGCTGTGGGACATTTAAAGGCCGTTTCTTTACTGTGTCCGCTCGCCAGGGCTACAAGGAGGAGTGCGTGGTGGAGCGCACGGGGACGGCGCGCTGCGTGCGCGTGCGCGGCGGCGAGCTGCAGCGCGGCTGGCGGCGCGTAGAGGCCGTGCTGGCGCGCGTAGTCCACGCGCAGCTCGGCTACGAGGCGGCGCTGCCCCGCGACCAGCACGTCTACACCGTGCGTAGCGCCTCTGTTAGGCCACCGATACTACGCTGCTATAAGCCCTGAGACACTGCGCTACCCCGCTCGTAGCACCACGATGAGCTCGTCTAACTGCGATAACCTGTGCGGAGCGCCGCTCTTAGCCCACCCAAACTAGTAAACTGTATGTAGCGCCGCTACAAGCCAACAGGCACTACGCTACACCGTACGTAGCGCTGCTATAATCACCAACACTACGCTATACCGTAAACCAGTTCCCCATAAGCCCGCGGAAACTACGCTACATCGTACGTGGCGATGTTATAGCCCACAGACAATACGCTAAACGCAACCTTGCTCCTTTTTTAGTCAAACTACGCTAACTTGTACGTATATCCGCCATAAGCCCCACAACAATACTATACTTAGCGCCGTTATAAGCCCACCGGGACTACGCTCGTATCCATGGCGCGTAGTTCCTACGTAGTCCGCCGCGTACATGTAAACTTAGTGCTTATCTTACAAATTCAGTAGGATTTATAATAATTTACACACCTCTACCCATAGTAACCTTTATTTTGATTTCCTTACGCTCGCCTTTCTACATATTATTGTTGATTTATTCTATTTATTCATTGAGTATAAAATAAAGAAAAAAAATGTAGGAAAGAGGTGTCATAAGATATATTAAAGAATTAACCAAAAAAATCTAAATCAAAGTGAAATTCTAATAGCATGGAAGATCTTACACTAGCTTATATTAAAAGCGGTAAACTCTGGACCAATGAACTACCTAATACATATAGATACTTAAATTTATTTTGGTACTTAATTTCTTCTTATTGTTGCAGGCGTACTTATACGTCGAGAAGAAACAGATCGTCGGATGCCTTATAGTGGAGCCTAAAATAAAAGCATATAAATTGATACCTGGCGAGCCAGATTGCTGCAGCGTGGAAGAGTATCCTGTCAAGTATGTCATAAACTATTTTACTTCTAAAACTAAGCAATTTTGAGCTAACGTGCACTTATTTAATTTTGTTTCTAGACCTTCAAGACCTTGCGTTTGGCATATTTGTTAGACCCGTTGCCAAATTTACGGCTCGATACTTTTATAACTATTACAACTAAGGCACTTTTATACACTACCTATCAGAATTTAAGGCACTGAAACAATACAATACTAACGATATTTATATTTAAATAAAACAAAACCTTTTTATTTTCGAATTCCCGACGCTTCGCCTAATTTAGAGCGTTCACTGTCTTGGGAAATAACGTTTTGTTTATGTTCTATCGTTAGTATTTAATAACTTGTGGTCTAACTTGTGTTAATCTTATAGTAACTTGTGGTCCAGCAGTGTTGATGACGATACCAAGCCGATGATAATTCCAAACTAGATCTATATAAGCTTAAAACAAGCCTATATTGACGGAACGTCACCATAGGCTAACAAAAACTACCATGGGTTCACTAAACTTGATATGTCCAGATAAAAACCGGCAAGAAAATTTGCTGTCTTATCTTTTTTTTAATTCTTTCTGTCTTAATGTTACACCTTCAGCCTATTCTACGCAGACGTAGTCGCGGGCAGCAGCTAGTTAACTATAAAATCAGCAAAGGACTTGCAAGTGCAAAACAATAGTCATTTCCACACATCTATTAGGCCTTCTACACTAGGTTAGCATTTACAGAAACTCTTGAAATTTTTTACGCTTAGTTGTTTGTCGTTTGTACGTCCCCTATTTTATGGGAATACCACATCCACCAAGAGACGATCCGATTTTAGCCGGTCTGAACCACCTTACTTTCAGAAGTCCACGGCGCCGACGCATCCGATACAAGGTGTTTCATTACAGATGCGGCGTCTCGAGGATCTGGACGCACTCGAGCTACCGCCGCCGCGGCGTCGCTTCTTGCCTGCTGGACTGCGCCAGGGCGTCGCTCCTGCACGGGGAGGCGCTCAGGGTGTCGGACGTGGCGTTCAGCGCGCCCACCGCCGCCGGCAAGGCCTTCGCCACCAAGTACACGGGCACCAACAATTTCTTCGTGTACGTGGATTAAGCTGGTGCTGTGTGTGTCTGTGATTTAAAGTTCCTCGAAGGTCTCGAACATTGTTCGCAAGAACACACGAAGTGCATAACGAAAGTGTTGTGTATGTGACTGTGAATTGAGAAGTACTTGATTCCACATTGTTTTCAAGAATATGAAGTTCATCGACGAGCTGTATAGAAGTAAGTATAGTTTTATTGTTGAAAAGGAAATACATTTAGTTTCATCGGTTCACCAACAATTTTTTTGTGTGTGGATTAAGAGAGTTTTGTGTTTGTGAGTTGCTGGAAGGAAGCTTTCAAATGTTGTTTACAAAAACACTTGAAGTGCATAGAAACTGTAAAGAAGTAATACTGTATACTTCTGTTATAGATAAGGAAAAACATAGTTTTGTTGAGAGATTAATTGTACAGTACTGCAGACCACCTGACCTCCATTATGTTAACCGTTTGTTAAAATTTCGTCTGTTCTCTTTTATTTGTTAAAGTTAAGATTCAAGTACTAACTTAATAACTGAGCCGAAAGCTAGAATCTCTTAAGATATTTTTATGCGATTGTATTATACAGCGTGTCTTTACCATCGCGACAATAAATGAACACACGTCTAACGCTACTTGCCGATAATCATAAAAAAATATTAACGTTAAACAAAATCCATAATTAAAAAAAAAATTTTTTCAAACAAACTAATTAAGTAAAAAAGAAACAAAATTTGTAACATCCTATACAACTCGCGCCACAGCGTCGCAATACAAGCCTCTCGTTCTAACAGTATGTTTTGTCTCTTTAAATTCATTCAACCCATTCATATGCTTTGTGACCGTTACAAATGAACTTTACGCTACAGTTTTATACGTAAGGGTGTTCTAAAATTGTTTGTTTTGGAAAATTTAATAACTCGGTAAATATTGATGTTTAAAGAATGTAAATGTTAATACAATTTTAAAAAGTTATCATCTATATGTGTGTTCATTTATTGTCGCGGTGGTAACGACACGCTGTATAACATATAACTGCTAAAAAAATATACAACATGTGTTTACATGTTGTATATTTTTTCATGTTTTCATTTATCATGTGTTTACATGTTGTATATTTTTTTTAGCCTATCAGTCATTTTAACATACATATTGTTTTGTATTGAAAAAGGATTTTAGAATTACGTAACGGTTTATATAAAAGATTTCACACCAAAATTACAAAGATTCTTCTTTTATTAGTTACCATTCTGATATAAATTTTAATTTTAGCTTTTGAAATTTTCTCTCAAGCTTATTTTTTCTGTTTTAAAGACCAAGATATTTTTCTCTTTTGTGTACACCAATATTATGGCTTCTCTCTCTCTAATTTAAGAGTTAGGCTCTTGTCACTGCAACATCCCAGTAGTTCAGCTAACACCACAAAAAAAAAATTAAATATTAAGTTATATTATGGCTTAAAATAACTTAGTATTTAAAATGTAGTCTATAATAATAAATTAATTGTTGTTGTAACATTAACTTTATACATTAATTCATTTTATAGGTATAAACTTATTGTAATGTTATTTCCCGCTAAGGCTGCCTACAACTCTTACAGTGATTTCCATGAGCCATCCTCAATGGGAGGCTCAATTCTAGTTAGATTAGCAGCTGATTTGTGACATCTATTATCTTTTAACAGTGTGGTGTTTTCAACATTGTATGAAGTTACAACTCTATAAACAACACTGCCATAATTGGATGAAGAGAAGGTTGCATCTATAATAAAATGAAATACATAAAGAGATTGCACTAATATTTGTTATGATGTTAACATAATTTTATCTTATTACAATCATAACAATCAATTTTTGACCATACATGACTTCATATACATCAATTCCGTTGGGTTTTGATGCAATACAACAAAATTATTGTTGTTGTTATAACACTAGCCTTAATTTAATAGTCATATTCTTCTAATTTAGATTAAGTTTTGGATATTGTTGTTTTTGCTTTTTATCTTATATACATTTTGAATTCTTTATACATTTGCTAAACCTTTTTTGATTGGAAAGAGATTGCCACCTCTTATATGATGACAATTTATATTTTAAATATTGTATTGCCTTTACTTGCATAGGGTTTTAACATTGGCGTATTTTTAACTGAAACTATTGTTAATGAACTATGGTTACATCTTCAGTAAAAAGAAATCTTTACCTTTGTAAATAATTGATTATAATAGTGTGAGTTTGGGTGTGTGTGGGTGTGTGTTTATTTGAGGGTCAATAATTTTTAATGTTGAAGAATCTTAACAAAAGTAATGAAGCTTTTAAATATTATAACTTATGGCTAATATTACTTAATTCATCCAATTATAGTTGTCAAATATGTTTAGAGGTGTGTATCAAAACTAGTAATTTGAATGTGGATATAGATGTAAAGTCCTGATTAATGCTTTAGAAGCATTTAGGTTGTGAATTGAAATGTTTAAACGTGGGGCCAACTTAATGTCGTATTTTAATACTCTAATGTCATTTAGATTGAAAAGTATTCCCTAAGGCAATGTGCCAAACTATTTTATAAGTGCCATTTCTTTTAAAAGCTGTTTTTTTTTTAAACAAACTAAGTTTATTATATTATTTTAGTTATACCCAAATTTTAAAGCAAATTTTTTTGAATTTCTTTTGCTTGGTTTTGCATGCTTAACTTTAAAATCATGATTCAAACTTTCAGGAATGCTGCAAGCATTTCTATTGCTAGAATTCTTAGTACAGATATTAATATTCTTCAGTATCTTTTAATTTATTTTTAAGCTTTTACTTATAATTTGGTTTAAACGATGTAACAAAATAGAAAGCTGTGTGTTACTAAACTCTTTTTTTACCATTGGGTAAATCCTAATCCTGTTATAGTTGGTTAACTCCTGCTTTTGTAGAAATTTCGTCAGGCGACTAATCGTTATTTGCAAGGTTGTCGCAAATTCCATAAGCTTTATTTAGTTACGTCTATCCTACCACGGGCGTAATTTTAACGTATTCGAGAAAAATGCTCAAGTTATAGAGTTATATACCACTTGTAATAATTAATATATTTGACCCGCCCTCTTATGCTGTAAAATCTTTAGAAGTGTTAGATTTCTGGTGATCTGATGGTACTAAGCAAAATGACTTATTTACTTGAAGATTGCGATTTTTTTTTTGTTTTTGCCCAAATTAACCTCTTATTTTTTAAGAGTATTTTTACTTCGAGTAGGTACTGAAGGTGTACATTGTACGCGATGGCCAGTTATCATAGTGTACTATATTTATCGCTACCCAGATTTCGTTTACCGAAGAAGAGAATAAGCCGTCCTATTTTAGACCGTTCTCATGTCTACTACATCAATTTGTTGCCTTGTTAAGCAGTCCATTTAATTTTATAAGTAATACTGTATTTACCGTTAAAAACCGACATGTCCAATATACTATTATATGTAAACAATATAGTAGTGTTTTAAGTGAAGCTTGCGTTGTAAAAAATATTAGTTGCAATAGATATAAATCAAAATGCTCTATGAATACCTCAATATCACCCAAATATCAACAAATAGAAAACCTTATTGATCTATAAACAGTGACAATTCAATTAATGACATTTACGCTTATAATTAAGTATAGTTATTAGTTTTAGAAACAACTGCAACTGTGGCAAATAGTTATAGAAACAAAAATGTGAAGTAGGCTCTCGGTAAAGCGGTACGCCCGGACCCGACATGTAGCAACGCGGATGACCCGCTTAATAAGTAGCTATCCAGTAGCTTCTACTGCTTTTTACATAATTACAGAGCGGGTGACTATATATAGGTTTGCTCTCTACATGCGTCGAGGCGCTCCACTTTCATTCAATGTATACTAGCAACTTCAGTTAAATTCTTCCGCAGCGGGGTTGCGTGATGGACTATTCGATAATACTCAATACAAAAAGCCTTAGCCAAACGGTATATAGGCACTTATAGGCTGTATATAGCACATGTATAGTATGACACATATAGGCCGCTAATTTACTTTACTATACTGATATATGTTTAAATAAATGACTATTTATTTTGGAGTCCACTAGTGCGTCTAAGATAGAATTTATTTCGAATATATTTAGGTGTTTTTTTTTAATGTATAAAGTTGTTAAGCGAGCAGGCGATCCACCTGATGATGTTAAACGGATACCGCAGCCCTTGGGCATCTACAGCACCTGAGGCTCTAGCAGACGCGTCGACAACCCATAAAAAAGTGGGCCCCGGTTACCTCACTAAACGAAACGTAAAAGTATAATAACTTACACTTTACGCCGGTTTTCTGTGAGGTCGTGGTAATTCCCCGGATAAGCCTACCCTTTCGTGCAAGCCGAAGATATTTTGTATTTATTTTTCATACAAAAAAATTCGGGTGCCGATTTACAGAGCGCCTTCTTTACTGCTTACATTTTAATATTTTATATCCTGTTTACTTTGTATTTTCGATTTTTTTTTCGTGTGTATGGATGTTAATTTCATAATTCTGAGCACCCTTCGTACATACTTTGGTTCTATAATCTAATGGCCTTTCTGCTATATAAGAACACGTGTATTATATAACTGCGATGTAATAAAATGTCTTTTTAAGGTGTGAATTGTCTTTGTTTGTTTTATTGCGTATTTGTTTTTATTTGATTTAATGTTAAACTTTTAACACTTCATTGATTATGCAGTATGTATGAGACGAGAGAAGTCCAAAGATGTTTGTACCTTTTTACATTTGAAAAACTTGAATAATGTATTGCAACATTTATATTTTCGAGTTGAATATGTATAGAAGGTAGTTTAAAAGTGCCTCTCCTGTTATTTGATGTATATGATCGCACTTGGTTGATTTAAATAAAGGTTTTCTTTTTAATACTCTTTTTTTCTAGCAGAGCCTATGTTTTTTGGAAGTTAATGCCAGGTTTACTCAATCAGCTGGGCCACATTGAAAAATAAAGTCGGTGAAGATGATATTACAATAAAATAGCACAATTTTAAAACAACATTTATTTTTACATACATTAAGTCGGATTCAAAATGCCTGAAACATACTGATTTTTGTGTACACATCAGTTATAGATAATAATTTCATGGACAGTAAATGATAATTTTCCTTTGCATGAATCTGTGGAAATGATAAAATTATAAGCGCCTGTTACTTTTAGAATCACCTCGCAGTAAATACTACTATACACATAAATATTAAAAATTTATTTTTAATCTTTAGGAATTTCATTAATTAGGTATATTTTTAAAATTAAATTTGTTAAAAATATAGATTTTCAGTATATATTTAAACGTATGTATTAAGAGTAAATACATCGTAATCCGCAGTCACAGTCTGAAACGAATACAATGTTGAGTGCTTACCTCGAATACGGTGTCCTAAACAAAGTGACAAGTTATGCTAACACAAAACATGCCTATTGAACTGAAGTACTACGGAGAAATCGAGAGAAAACATTCTGTGCCTCTAAAGAAAAATAAACTAAGCGCTCTAGTTAAATGCCACCACCGTTGTCTCTAGAGCGGGAAAGGCTACGCTTGATAGCGCGGGCTCTCGTTCTACCACAGATAAAACATTACCAAAAAATATTTTGCAGTTCCGCTGCACTTTGAAATGAGTTTCGAACGAAGTTTACTCGATACCGTCCTCACATACGTATTGTGCGCAAGTACATTCACTTATCTACTATGAAGATATATTAAAAAAAGGAGGAATTGTTCAATACTATTTGGTTATTGGCAACGGACGTTACATTACCTACTAGTCAAGGATCTGATCACGAAAAACAACTAAAGTACGACACTACGCTATCCATAAGATCCCGTTTCGGAGATAAGTAGTGGAAATTTAATATATCGTCGGATAACTTAGCGCTCCCACACACCGAAGTCGAGAGTTAACTACAATCTTTTACATTATAGTTTTCATTTATTTCACATCGACACTGGCAGTATTTCATCTAAATATCGAAAAACATAGAAAATATGCTATATTATACTACTTTATACATATTATATGACTCACTTGTTATTGCGATTTCTTAAATTGTACGAGGACAGCGGGGATCGGTTAGCAATATACATAAACGTCACGCAACCCCTGTTGCGGTGGCAACACTACCGCGATATTAATCATTATTTAACACACAAACGAGCGAACGACGTCACACCGATTGTGAAAGACCGTTACATTCGCTTCGAAACCACGAATATAACAGAGCTATCGGAAAAAGCAATCATTCAGAATGCCAGATGACAGTTTGTACATGTGACGTCGCACGTCCGTAGTCCGCATTGAGATTCGCGCCAAAAACGCGGCCGACGTACCTTACAAAATTCCGATAAGGCTTAGTGTAAATTCACCGTGTGAAATATGTGTGAAATTCCTACAAACGTACCGTATTTCATCAATTCGCCGACAGTATGTTCTCATGTTTCGACGCGGATGGTTTGATACGCTACCGCATATAGATGATCGACTTTGCTACAGTACCAAATTGCACAGACCATAAAGAAAACTCTAATTTTTCTAAACTTATCATTTAATCATTTCGTACAACATGACAAGAAAGTCGCAGCAGTCAAAAGCGAATCGACGACATTAAAAATTAACAATTTGAAAGACAAATCATTCATATTTAATTTGGCTTCGTCTGGCATACTCTTCATCAAAATAAGTTCCATTTTCAAATTGCAGAAAATACCAATCAACTGAAGTCGTATACGGCGTTCAATTATTAATTACTTCATCAAACAATCCGCGTCCATCCAACAATAATTTGCATCCGACCAAAAATGGACATAAGAGCTGCAAGGGAGAAAAGAAAACCTTCACAACTTCAGCAGTCTACGTTATTTATAATATATATATATTTTGTTACTTCTGCATTCGTTATCGCATTACGCTAGAACTTACTTAAATAGCTACCAAATAGTTTTTTTTTTTACTTTTTAAGTTACATGTACAATAAGTATTTAAGATGCCATGTTAATGTTAAATTACACAGTAAATACTATGATAGGCAGAACGATGCTGAGAGATCGCCCGCTATTGCACTAAAGGCAAAGTTTCAAATAGCTGCCTTTGAGAATTGAAGCTAGAAGTACTAACAACTAAACTAAAAGAATTGAACTTTGCCTAATTATCATTCACAGAACTCCCCTATGAAAATCAAATGAATCATAGAACTGAGTGAACAACAGGCCAACAAACAATGAAAATCAATAACATAATAATATATGGGATTTTTAAAATTGCCTGTTTTCGAAACTATGAAAAAAAAAAAACATCAGCTTTGGCATCTTCGATAATTTTAACCTCGTCAATAGTCACACAAGAAAAGTTGCACTATGAAAAAAAACATTAGTTAAACGTCAAATTTAAAAATAATCAATGTAACTAGGGAAAACACTGATATTTACCTACATAGGGCGACCTCTACTGACACCAAGATTGTAAATGATACATACAATTCATAAATGTATGTTATATTTCGCCTACTTACATTCAATGGTAAAACTTAACACAACGAAACTACAATTCCATTACTTATGATTCAAAAAAAAAAACAGTGACAAAACAAAAAAAAAAATTAAAACAGCTTACGCCTCACATTACGAGAGTAGAGATTTTATAGCTCGAGTGAAATCACATTGATTTATAAATAGATCAGTTTTCGTGTGGTAACGTTTGAAGTATGGTGTTTCCGTCGGCAATACTCCATTATGGCACATAACTCTACAACACCAGCTCGTGTTCTTATATTAAGGACCACATACGGTTTTAAGCTCAACAAGTGGTATCGAACGGAATACCGATGAGGAACCGCAAATGTGACACGACTCTGGTACTATCGGACCCCAGCTTTGAATTGCAACATTTGTTTAGAAGCGGGAAATTTTCACGAATGTCAAAAATGTTATTGCTTTTTAAATTAATGTCAGTCAACGAAAAACAGCTCGCAATTAGAACTTTTCTTTTTATATAATATAAATGGAATATATCGTGTCACAAAAATATTAAATTTAATTTCCATAAATTCAAAATATAACCCAATAACATCTTGAACATTGAATTTCCAAAAGAAAGGCAGAAACGAAATGGTATTTGAAAAAAATTGGCCAACATTATGATCACATTACCAAATCCAGATAATCCAAAACTAAATAACGTAACGTAAATATATTATTACTATATCATATAGATCTCTTGATTTATAAGCATTTACACGAAGGTAAGTACATGAACCATTCTTAAAAACGATCGATTTCATTCTAATAATTATGTTAAGAGTGAATCTTGTTAGTGACATTTGTACTTAAAACTAAAACATTACGCGCCCGCCCTAAGCAAAGCGGGCCAGTTAAAATATATAATATATTAAAACTAAAACTATATAAAAACTAAATCGGCAAAACAAAAAAAAATATTCTCTCAAATCGAATACTGCAAAATGTGATATATCCCACCTAAGGCGCGTATCACATACGGCGGTGTAAATTGAATCTTTGGACCTTACGATAAATCTAAAAGCTCCCGAACGTTAAATAACTTTTAAACAACTAAGGAGAAGCGCTCGCTATTTTGTTATACTGGTGTTTAGTCGAAGTCTGTGCTAAATGTGAATAGCCGCTAAAACCGTAAGTCATTCGACAAAAAGTAATGTTAATATAAAAAAAAATAAACTACAGATACATTGGAAGACGTACAATCCATAAAGACTAAAACATATTCGTGTAACTTAAAACTAACATTAGAAAAAAAAAGTAAAACAATAGGAAACTTAATAATCACATCATAGCATAATATAATTCTCGAGAAAAACAAATATAATGTAGAAAAAATATTTCTGTAATCAAAAATATACAGACATAACAATATATCTTTGCAAAAATAATATATAAATACATACATAAGTAGATTAAGACAAAACGACAAAATCTACAAAACCCCTATGTTTCTACTGAAATTTTCTATTCGAAAATAGAAATAGAAGAAGTAATTGAAAAAAAAATGGCTACATTGAGCACTCATGCATTACTTTAAGTGATATGCATTAATAGAAACAAACCATATGTTAAATGTAAAAGGTCTAACTCCGAAAGGGATATTCAAAGTTAATTGTGCTCTGTGTAAAGATATTTAAACAATATAATAACTAGCCTCCAACAACCACTGATCCTTAATATAAACAATGGTTTACGCATGCCGCCTTCGAGGAACATTCTCGAAGTTTCGACCCCCGTTTCTGGTAAAATACACATTTAATTGATAACGTAATCCATATTCGATGGAAATGGATGTAAAATATGGCGTAAACAATCCCGGAATGAACCACGGTACAAATCACTCGTAAATTGAAATTAACAAAATTCCAGAAACGTTCCGAAACACATGTTATTCTAATTTCATTAAATAATTAATTAAATATTCCTCGTTTAAACATTACAATTCATATCGGGAGTGAGCAGGTTGGTTCTAGTCGTAAATATAAAACGAAGCGTCGAGAATGTGTTTGAAAAATTTGAATTTCGAAGACGAAACAAAAAAAAAATATAAGTGGCATCGGGACGATTAGGTTATGAAACAAAAAGAGCTAGAAAACAGGTTATAAACGTCGGGGTGCGCGCGGCAGTTGAATAAAAAACAAAAACAACAAATCCATCATAGATCCGAGTGTGCCGGGGCGAGTATCCGAACCGCGCGATCGTTTAGTATGGGGGCGGGCGCCGTTCGGAAACACCATGCGAACGACACGTGGCAGGCGGAGGGGTGTTTGAATAATGAGAGTGGGGAGATGGGGCGGGGGGGAGATGGTGGGGGAGGGGGTCCGAGATAAATCACATTGGCGCGCGCTATGAGAACGTAGCGCGCGTACATTCGGCGCAAACGAGTGTGATAAGATCCGTTTCGTAGTTGCTATTGCTGTGCCGTTTTCGTACGCGGGTGTCATTCGACGGGCGGGGCGGGAGCGCGCGGCGGCGGCGCTCGCTCCGTCCCTGTCTGCTCTTGGCGTTGACTGGAAAAAAAATTCAGCCCTCAGTGGTAAATCGAGGGGGTTTTGGTGACCCCGCGACTTTGGTTACGCGTACGCATTTCTATTGTTAATTTTGTCAGTTAGTTTGTAGTAATCATTTTTATTCATCCATTTTCCCCATCACAACAAAAAAAAAATTAATGTCAACCTACACGAACAATTTTGCTAAGCGGCCTTACCTTATTGTGGTACTTTAATTTTAGTACTTTTGGTTATCTTTGACACGTACTGCTTAAATGTTGAGTTTATTAGTTCACTAAAATTAATCTAATTATATACAAGATGTCGTCTTTTATGTTTTCATGTACGTACATGTGCGCGCGCGTATGTGTGCGTGTTTTGGAGTGTGCATGTACGTGTTTGGTCGGGTGCGCCTGCATACCTAGAAGTAAATATATAAATGGTGTTTCCCTACCGAAAACGGGACCTCAAGGATCGCGGGCGACTGGGCCTCTGTAGATCAGTAAACGAACCTAAAGGTGATGATGGCTTGAAGTAGGTTCAAGTTAAGGCTATTCAAGGCGAGTTAAGGGGGGCCGCGGTAGTGTTCCAAACGGAGATCCCGCGACCCCTCATGACAGCCGATGGCGACCACCGTAGGGTTTTGGTTGTTGCGAGTCCCGACATCACCTTGCTTCCTCGCATGTGGGAGGCCAGGCATCCATAACGGATTTCCCCACGAAAAAAATGCCTAGTGTTGCGTGCTTAGACTTGCGTGTGTGCGCTCTAAGACGTGCGTGTGTGCGTTCTAAGACGTGCGTGTGTGCGCTCTAAGACGCAACTCACCTTTGGCGGCGGCGTGCGCCGGTTAGAGCAGCTCGTACTGGCGCAGGTGCATGCGCTGTATGATGTCGCGGCAGTCGTTGAACACGCGCTTTATGTTCTCCGTGTCGACGGCGCACGTGAAGTGAGGGTAGCAGTAGTGCTTGCCCTCGCCGCTGGCGGTGCTGATGCGCTGCGGAACAGACGGACAAAGTGTGGGACAGTCGGCCGGCGAAAGGTACGAGAAGGTTCGAGATACGAGGTTAACTAGACGGGATACCAACGATGTGGAAGTAAGGTACCGATGACCTTTGCAACACCCGTAGGATTGCAAGATGTGTTGCCACCTTTTGATAAACTGGGCCCCGGTTACCTCATTCACCAGACAAAACGCTGATGTACGACAGTTCCACTTCACGCCGGTCTTCTGTGACGTCGTGACACTTACTCGGATGGATTTGAACTATCGTGTAATAGCGAATACCGTTGCGTGGCCTATTTTTATTTATTATTACAAATTAAATAACTTGGAATTATAGAAATAGATAATGTGTCAAAAAGTTATCGATTGTCATGTAATACCACGAAGTCCGTGTCGTTTTCGGATGAAACAAAAAATAACGCGGGCCACTCACGGGAAGTGTAACTTAAAAAAAAAACCAAATAGAACATAATTTAAAAAACCCGACTGCGTGTCTTTTTATTTTTTTAGTTTGATACAACCAGTATCACTCTCACAGTAAATACGAATCTAACTACACGTCTCAAGCTAAATTACATCAAGTCGTTGAGGCTGCGGAGCGTGCCAAACAATTGTACACGGTAAAAATATAGCTCGCCACTCGCGAGTAGTATAGCTTAAAATAAAAAAAGAAATAGGGCGCGCCACACACGCGAATTGTAACTTAAAAGACTAAATAAAAAAACACGGCTCGCCGCTCACGGTAAGTGTAACTTAAAATAAAACAAGAAATAAGGCTCGCCACTGACGAGAGGTGTAACCTAAGAGAGACAAAAAAAAAAATATAAAGCTCGCCCACTCACGAGGAACTCGTCGCGGATGAAGTACTTGGCGCGCGCCACGTCGGGGTGGTCGCGCGCGTCCGGCGCGGCGTCGGGCGGCGTCTGGTAGCGCGCGAACTCCGCGAAGTACTCCTCGAGCCGCGACTTGCCCGCGAGCACCTTCTCCGCCAGCAGGTCCTGCTTGTTCAGGAACAGGATCACCGATATCGTGCGCAGCCACCTGCCGAGCGGTTCGCCTCTGGTTAGTGATCGCGCCGCCGTCGCGGTCACGCGTTTTAACGCCTACAACACTACTGGTCCACTTTGCCCCTTTTACATATATCAAGAAGATTTCAAGTCCACTTTGTCCCTTCCGCGTCTGTGACCGCGGGGCACGGGAATTGTTGACACCATTTAAGTTTCACTCAAAGTGTATAAATTATTATCACCAATGTAATTCCAAAACATGTATTAAATAATTAGATGATAATTGAAGTCTTTATTATAATTACCAAAAATATTTTATTATGCTTTGAATTCGCTATGAATAACAATAAACATCAGGCTGAGAAATAGCGTATAGAGCAAAGCCTCGTAGCACTAGATATAGGAGGAGATGATTATGATGATAGGGGGTGGGAAGTTTGAAGGTCACCTGTTGTTCCATATGCTTTTGAAGAGGTCCAAGGACTCCCGCAGGCGGTTCTGGGTGGGGTCCTCGCGGAGCACCATGTTGTAGGAGGAGCAGGCGGTGACGAAGATGATGGCGGTCACGTCGTTGAAGCACTGGATCCACTTGCGCCGCTCGTCCCTTTGGCCACCCACGTCGAACATGCTGCAAGCAAACGCGTAAACGATCACGCCTCACTCTAGGACATATAGGAGGAAATCTCACGAGATTAGAGATTTAAAGTAAAAATTTTTATACCACAAATCTCTGAACTTAAGATGTAACATTAAATTTTTTAGAAAAATGAACGAAGTCTTTCGTCGCTGCGGGAATCCAATTAGAACACATTATTTATTTTTTTCGCATTTGACATTACCACAAATTTTAATGAGATTAGAGATGTAATGCTCCTTCGAACTCACTGCTGTTGCGGATGTCATTGACAATAATAAAAAAAAAGTTTTTTACACTCCAAGAAAAGGGTTCGGGGTGGGCGTTCAATTCAAACGTAGGTATGTAATATAACAACTATAGCTGAGTCACAGGTTTCTAAAAGAACCCTTGTTTCAGACGGATTTAAGGTTGAAAACAGAGCGTCATCAAAAAAGCAAACAAATCGCAAATAAAAGCAAAAAACCACATGGAACTGACTGGAAATTGACTTTGTCGACGACGAACTGCGTCTCGAAGATGCCGGAAGTGAGCACTCTGCAGCGCAGGATGTCCTGCTCCGTCGGCGTGTAGTCCGGCTGCTTTATCACGTGCACCTGGTCCAGGAAGCTGCAAACGGATAGATGCATCGCGTGATTTAGAACTACCCTCGCACAGCGTCGCGAAATTTAGAACTACCTTCACACAACGCGAGATTTAGAACTACCCTCGCATAGACAGAACTTGAAACCTTAATGCCATATCATATAGAGCGTTTATGATATTTTTTAAAAGTCCTCATCAAAATCCTAAATTTAAAAAATTGTGTACAGAAAACTACAATTATAAATTTTTCATGTACCTCTCGAAATTTTAAAATATAAATTATAAAATGTTACTTGAGTGTCGGCATACTGTAAAGTTGCTCACTAGGTGGCTCCAATTATTGTGAAAATGCAAAGTAAAATGAGATAATTATATATAATTTCGCGGCGTACGAATACAATCCAACACTTAGTTCTGAGCGTCGTACCCGAAAAGAGGTGGCTTCGTAATGGCATGGCCGGACCAGTTATTTTTACAGTTTATTTATCCAGTTTTTAAATAATAAGTTTTTCTGAAATTGGGCAAATAATTTTAATTGCGGCTTAATGTCGTTTAAAACTTGTGGGGTAGCCAGAAGTTAAGAGCAATCATAATAACACCCTCTAAGGTACCGAATAACTGAAATAATTATATCTTTACTTCGCCATTCCTCGTGGTGTTACGTTCTCTTTATTTATCAACAACGCTCAATAACATAGGAAACTATACATAAAGTGAAGTGGGAGCGAGACAAAAAGATATTTAGGCTGCAACGCGAAAGAGATGGCGACACTCTCCGCACCAATGTGGTCCCTCGGATACCCATTGACCTATACTACGCAACAACGTCCCCTGTGTTGCAATGACCATGGGTGGAGCTTATCACTTAAGATCAGGTGAACTGCCAGCTCGATTGTCACCTTCTCACATAAAAAAACTGATGATTGATTATGCTTTGTTTGGACGGGGTTGGATATATTACGTAGAACATTTCCTAAGTGAACGGTGCGTCCCTTGAGACAATGCCCGGGTCATGGGGTTCGATTCCCGGACACCCGTACCTGCGCATGTCTGACTCTAAGGCAGGGCAGTATAGATGACCCGGTGGTGGTGGGTTGGGTTTTTGTTTTTTATGTGAAAAGTTGCCAACCGAGCAGACGGCTCACCTGATGTTAAGTGAATACCGCCGCCCATGGACATCTGCTACATCCGAGAGTTACAGATGCGTTGACAACCTTTTGAAAATTGGGCTCCGGCTACCTCACTCACCAGACGAAATGCGAAAGTATTTGTCATACTTCCACTTTACGCTGGTCTTCTGTGCGGTCGTGGTACTTACCCACCAACAGACGAGGCTGCTGCGTGGCCCTACCACCGTAGTAATAAAAGATCTATCATAGTTTCTATCGAGGTCAGTTTACGTACTACTTGGCGCAGTCGATGAGCTGATATTCGTTGCTGCGCTCGTACGTGCGCTGCACGCCCATGTCCTTCCAGAGCGCCTCCGTGTGCTCGTAGAACTCAGACGGGTAGTCGAAGTCCGGCTGCGAAGCGACGTCCTGCGAAGGGAGAGCGAGCGTGAGGGGGACAGATATACGTGGAAAGATGTGTAGATAGAAAGAGAAGGGGGCAGGGGGAGAGAGTAGAATAGAAATGTAAGGAAAATGACAGTTTCACGTCGATATGGAACGGAAAGAAGGAACATTTTCGAGCTATTAGTTAATCCTGGATATAAGCTATTTTCCGTTGAGCCGTTACAGCGTGAAGAAGTAGAGAAAAACATACACATTAACATTTTCATTTATATAATCGACTATAAGTGTCAAATTTAACTGTTATCAGTGACTTAGCGCCGTTCTCAGTTCCATCCATTGTCTTTTTCGCCTTTCAGAAGATAAAATGGCGAGGGGAAAGGTAAACAGAGAATTAGCTGTCCCTTGACTCACTTATAAAGAGAATCCAAAGAGGAAGTAGTTAATTATTAATATATTAATTCTTATATACTACAAATATAAGTAGAACATTATATGACCAAATTAACCAGGAGATGGAGGGAAGAAAAATCCCACACAAAGAAGCACGTCGTGTAACAAGCGAGTTAAAGTTATTGCTTATTTTATTTTAAATTTTACACATAGCGGATATTCCTACCTATACTAGAATGTGAAATTTTTCAAATCGGCCATTGTATGACATGTTGTATGACATTTATGACGAAATGATTTTATACGCCTGGGCGTAGGCGCGGTCTTCTTTAATGGTGGATTAGGAAACATCGTATCGAATAAGCCTAGGGTTTACCTAGCAACCAAAATAAGATGGTCTACGACCACATTTATACAGGGTCATGCATACCTGTATATAGTCGACGCGCGCTTTGTTCTCCGGCTTCTCGAGAGGTATCGGCGGCGTCAGCGTGCTCATCGCCCCAGTGATTGTCTGGAACGTTATCGTTTTAATTACAAACTTCATTTCTAGAGGTAGCAAACGAGGAAACGGTTGACCTCACGGTGATCAGCACCGCCCATGGACCCAATAGAACGAAAGAGTACTTTAGTCTTTGTAAGGTCACAGAAATACACGGATGAAATGCAAACATGCTTTATGAAAATTGAGTACTTTCCCAGAATAAGATTCCATAAGAAACTTTAATTGAAAATGAAAACTTTAATACTTTTGAAGGATGTTGAAGATCAGATAGAAGTCTCATTGAATGATGTATTTGCATCCTATTATATCTTTAAAAAAATTACAATAATAAAAAAATGAGCAGACTTGACCAGAAATCAGACCAGTGCCAATTATTCACTGTACAGGTGTAAAATGAACTGATGGCTAACTTTGAAGTTCCCAAGTGCTTGCATCAACCCCAAGTTGAATCAACTTATGCTGTGAAGCCTAAACTGTATCAAGTAGTTGTGAATTTTACTTGGATGACTTTATAAGTCCAATTGGCAGTTTTCGGTACTTCATAAGCTTTGGTATAGCTTAAATTGGGTCAAGCTATTGTGACAGACTTAAACGACATCAATATATGCAAGCCATTGGTAGATTACGGCGTTAATTGGATAAAATTTCACTGGTCACACATTTTTAAACTGGTGCTAGATCAGACAGTGTGCTTTTTACTTTAAATGATGCCTTTGCTTTCTGTCCGTAGACTATTGAGATTCATCGAACACAAAACTCATGGGATAGCCAGAACCCACGAGTTTGATAACTGAATTTATGTATGTTAGTAAAGTAATGGCTAAGGCACATTATACTATTGCGGAATATCATGACAACGCCAATGTGTGGAGTTAACACTGTTGTTATTCACATAAGCTAAAAAGAGAGTTATACCTGTACTATTATAGTGTAAACTAATCATCTTAAAAAGGAGAGACTCTTGAGTTTCTTGCCGGTTTCTTCTCAACAGAAACCGGTGGTAACTTACTTATGAACTTATATTTTATTTAAAAAATTAACATTTCATAAGAACGTGCGAGCGTCTATGTGAATTTCAATCATGCTCATGGATCGCGGCTTTATTTGTACGCATGCTCACAAGTATCGCGTCGCGTATGTTCTTCTTGATGTCCTCAATCTTCTCGCGGCGCTCCTTGTCTGAGAAGCCGTTCACGTGCAGTATCCGCATCTGCTTCACGATCGTCGACTTGCCGGACTCGCCGGCGCCGAGTAGCAGCAGCCGATGCGTCGCCCGGTACAGCTGCAGACCGAAGGGTCGTGTGGTGGGATTCAGACGGTACGGTCAACGCCATAGTAATTACAATGCTCGGATCGAGAGTCATATGGTGCCGCTGAGTGGGTACGCTCAGCAGGTCACCATTGTAATTGCGACGCTCGGATCGAAGAGTCATATTGTGCTACTGAGACGGTACAGTTAGCAAATCACCATTGTGATTTCGACACTCGGATCGAAGAATCATATGGTGTCACTAAGACGGTACAGTCAGCAGGTCATTATCGCAATTGCGCACGCGGTGACCTCGTTGCATGACCATCTACAAATTGCAACCAAAAATCATAGCGCTGTTAGGGATGTCCATGGACGTTCGTTTTCCGGTGAGTTCCGTTCTCTGGATTCCTTAACACAATCAAGGAGAACGACGCAAGGCGAAATTGACAACAAAAGCCGTTGCCACGCTCATTGATGTTCTCAAAAATTTGCGAGTTACTTTGATAAGATCTGTATTAAACAGGAAAAATTATACTGAGGTTTTATATTGCTTTCTGACGGATCTCGTTTCTCAAATGTCCCATTTTTCACGTGAAACTTTGATAAACAAACCTGATGTTAAGTAATTATCGCTGCCCATTGACATCTACAACATCGAATTGTAGACGAACTGTAGAAGTTTTGCAAACCATTAAACCAGACGAACCGTGAAAGTATATACTTCCAATTCACGGCGTTCTTTTGTGAGGCTTAAGGTACTTCCCCGGATGAACCTACCCATTCGCGCAACAGCGGACTCCTTCCTGTCCGACTGCCCTACCGAATTTTCTCCTACTAGTTTTTTTTATCTTTTCAACCGACTTTAAGATAGGAGGAGAATCTCAATGCAGTTGTATGTTTTTTTCTATGTCAGTTTCTCCAGAACTCCCGTCATTTATGAACCGATTTTAAAACTTTATTATTGCATTCGGTTTGGTACAGTTACCGTGGGGTCCGAAATTCATTTACAGACAGAGATACATCAGGGAACACGTCAAAATCGAGTTGAAAAAGTAGGTACAGCGAGTGAAATATTTCATTTTTTGTTTGCAACTAAATATGTTTTACTAGATACTTCATGCGCTCGCCCCGATTCGTGGTGACAAAGTACCTGCTTGTCCTTCTGCAGCTGCCGTGTGATCGCGTCGCTGCGCCGTTTCTGCGATTTGAGGTCATCGCCTTCGCTGCTCTTGCCGCCCGGTGAGCCGAAACACCCCATCGCCGACCACGCCGCCCACCTGGAGCGGAACGAGACATTTTTAAGTACGAAGATATAGTGAGGTGGCCGGAGCCCAATTCTCATAATGTTGTCAACGCATCTGGAACCCTCGGGTGTAGTAGTGTAGTGTCCATGGGCGGCGGTATTCACTTAACATCAGGTGGACCGTCTGCTCGCTTGGCAAATATTCACATAAAAAAAAGAATATTTCTGACTATATTATGTTAATAAGCATATCTCATCTATTACTTTTAAGCAACAGATTTCAATGTTTATCTTGTTGTAAAACGGTATTGACATTGTTTGTGAGCTGTAAACGGCATAACGATAGATGCGTCAATTGCTTAAAATGCGCAAAAACAATTTAAATTGTTAAAATTCGTTAAAATTTGTAGAAAAAGTACGAAAAGATTGTCGCCGCTGTGGGAATCGAACCCACGTCTTCGGCATTCGCGGCCTGACGCTTTATCCATAAGCTAAACGGCTGGCCACACCGACAAAAATTTAAATTCCTAGGAAAGTTGAGATTTTCGTTGGTTTTTTTAACAACCAGAAAATACTAAGTATGAATTTACTAGGTCCTTAAAGTTTCCATTTAGCTAAGTTACCAATGCAATGCCAAAAATTGTGGCATTGCATTGCTAACAATACATATTGCAAAAATGCGACTATTTTGAATTTATTTTATAGCAAATACTAGGCAATCGTTTCAAGTGGAGGTGGCCAACTATTTATAAACATAGTCCACGTACAAATATGAAACGTACAAGGGAGGATATCGATTATTGGCATCTATAAGTGGTTTGATGTGGCGTTATTTATTATACGATACAACCGCCTTCATTAGCAAAGGTGCATAGAATCCATATATGATTCAAAAGTTATTGTAAGGTAGTTTTTTTAAAGGAAGTTTTAATTTCTTGTAGTATATAAGCGAATCCTTAAAAAAACCACAAATCACTATAAAATCTAGTTTTAATTTCATATAAAATATATGTGTAAAAATATCACGTCACTATTTTGATTCAAATCTAATACGCTTGCATCGATCATTATATTATAGAAATATACTAATTAGAAACATTATTAAAGCTGGCTTTGACAAATCATAAGAGTTTCGAATTCAAACACGCATGTGTATAAGCGCGTGTTTTATACATATGTATAAATGTAATAATATACGTATAAATATACTTTCTATAGTGTATACGAAGAATGTATACATATACATACACGTGGCGCAGCTACAAAGACACACTATAGAAATATTTTTTATAATTTTATAAGTTACTCTTACTAAACATCAATATTTACCGAGTTATCAATGTTTACAAAACCAATACTTTTAGAACACCTGTACATTTGAACCTATAATGTAAATTTCATTTGTAAAGATCAATGGAATTTCTGGATTTGAATGTCGAAGAATACATTAAGTTATTTAAATATTGCGATCCATATGATTTTTTTTTGTGTAAACTATATAAACTGTCTTAGGATAGATACCGTTATTTTGTGCAACGTCCTGTCACATTAAAAACGACACAGCGGCCGATTATGTCAACATTGTTAACATTTACGGGAATCAACGAACACTTCAGCGCGTTTGCGAAAATCTACCGGTCAATATTAGGTTCCCCTCTGGTGTGTCAGTGTCTACACTGGTCACTTCTTCGTACTATATGACTGCGAAGTCGCTAACGTAGGTGGCTAGAGTAAACACTTCGAATGAATCAGTCAGTTGGTATTCGTGGGACGATACAAATTTGATTTCTTTAATATTGTATTAGTTTCATGGTAAAATTGTGGATTCTTTTTGAATATTTATATTTCGTTAAAACATGTAGAAAATGTACGAAAAGATTGTCGCCGCTGTGGTAATCGAACCCACGTCTTCGGCATTAAGAGTTAAATGCTAAATAACAATGTAGAAAGAAGGCGTTAAGATTTTCGTCGCTGTGGCTATCAGCCGTTTAGCTCAATGGCTAGAGCGTCAGGCCGCGAATGCCGAAGACGTGGGTTCGATTCCCACAGCGGCGACAATCTTATCGTACTTTTTCTACATGTTTTAATGTTCAATCTTAAGTGCAGAGGTTAGCACTACAATAAAAAAAGCTTTAAAATTTATTTATATTTCTTTAAGACGCGTGGCAAGTAGCCTTATTTCATTTATAATCGCGGTGTTAGTGTCACATTGTATTTCAATGACATTATATACAAATACGAAGTAGATATGACACTAGAGCATCGAAACAGTCAAATTACGCCAATTGGTGTAATTATTGGATTGCAATTCTATATAATGCTATCTATTTCCTTATCATACGTTCTGTATTATACGGAAATATATTTACTTATATATATTTATTGACAGAAATATATTTAATTAGTTAAAAATTATTCCGCTTAACATTATGTTACATGTATAATTTAAAGTGGAACAATTTTTAAACGCCGCGTAGTGTAAACGCCATTTTATTAAAATATCATTGCTGTATCGTTACATAGTAAAAACAAAGTCGTCCCGCCCTCTGTCTGAACCTATGTATGCTTAGATCTTTAAAACTACGCAACGGATTTTGATGCGATTTTTTTTACTGTATAGAGTGATTCAAGAGGAAGGTTTATATGTACAATACATTATTACACTCGTGCAAAGCCGGGGCGGGTAGCTAGTATACATATATTAAGGATCTAAATGTATTTAAAAGTCATCACGTGCATTACATTACAGGCTTGAATCTATGCGTATAAGAAGGCAAAACCACACCATTCGGTAGTGGATTACGTAGCGAACAAGCAGACGTGCGTCATCGGACAATATGCCGAGTTGGCCATACCGAGGCGTGAGGAGATCGAATGCCTTAAATACGACCTCAGTGTCATGTCAGCGGCTATTCGGCCGTCGCCGCAAGTTGGGGTGACCACGAGACTGCGTTTTTTTTTTAGATTCCTTACATAATATGCAACTCAAACCTCTTTTCGTTTAACTTACAGTACAGACTAGCAGACTCGGGTAAACCGCATAAGGTTTAAATAAGTTTGGTCATACATTTTTAAATACTACTCTGGTTTTAAAAATAGCAACAGACGGAAAAATGTGATGTTTTATTGATAAGTTCAAGAAGTTTAAAAAAAATATCTTTAATAATGGAAAAACTATATATATAAGCTACTTCCTGGTATGTGTGATACACAAACAATCTTAATTAAACTTAAAAATGTATAGATTTAAACTATCGCAAAAATTTTCCAGTGCAGTCTCTCTAGCCAGTAAGTTAAGCTGTCGAAATGCTCACCACGCGAATATGTCGACGTCTTATCTACTTTATTATTATTGTATTATAATTTAATAGTTAACAATGCGACATTTTTATCTACACATTTTTAAGTTTTATCTTAAGTGCGGAGACTAGCACTAAAAATATTTATGAGGAAACTATTAGTGATGAGAGATAAGTGAACTGCCTTCATGGCGGAAATCACTTATGCAACTAAAACTGTGATTTTTAATTTATTATGTATTTACTATACTGAATTGATCTTTTATATTGATGCCGTATCAAAATTGGAAAGTCCTTTGACGCTTATCATTTGGACAGTCCGCAAAATTCCACCCGCTTGGTCACCCCACATAGGGCTACTCACTTTATCCTCAATTGTCCCCCGCTAGTATATAGCGAATATGCTAATGGGCCATTAAACGCTGCCGATTAGCGTAGCCGCGGACGCACGTAAAGCGATTTCGGCACCGGACTACAGTCAAAACCATAAGGATGTGGGTACGTGTCTATTCGACTTTACCGTGGTAACTAAACTAAACGAAATTAAATCGAACGAATTCTTCACTGTCACTTCACGAGGTTTTATTTTACTTGTGAACGGATGACTTTGACTTTTTAGTGAATTGGTAGACAATTATCGACATCAAAAGGGAATGATTTTCGAATTTATCTTTTTTACCTGAAAAGTTAGCTAGCAGGTGCTTCACCTGAAGTGGCCCACCCATAGGCACCTACGACAGGAGGATTGCGGATGCGTTTCCAACGTTTCAAAAAGTTGGCCCCGGCTCCTTCACTAACCAGACGAAACGCGAAAGTATAGAACTTGCACTTCACGTTTCTGTGAGGCCGGTGTACGTGCTGCAGCACAATATTCATTTGAGTTTACAATCTATTTTGAGTTTAATAGGAAAGTAAGAAAAACTGCTAATATAAGGTTATAAATATATATCATGCCATCCATACTACATTTATACTATCCCTCACCTCAGACGGAATACCGTCTCGACCTCTCGGTATCTCTGAGCTATCGAGTAAAGTCACCAACAAGGACATATCGTAGCAGAGCTTTCGCTATACTCTGAGGAAAGATACCTTAAGCCTCTCCTGGGTTTTCATTTATGCATACGAGAGCCTGGAGCCCCTACAACCGTAATGAGTGAGGATAGCCGCCGAGGGAGCCAGTGTTAGGTGTCAGGAGTTCCACATATCTCTGTTCTCACCCCGGGAGGGGTGACTATCTTTTCGACATTTCTGGCTATTAATGTGCCAATAATGACGGTCGCAAAGCCGATAAACAACTTTAATATTACGTGACTCCATAGCCGTCGCAAGTTTGTTATTGTGCAAATGCAATAGATCGTTTAAACTAAATTGTCGACGTATCAAAAGGGGATTACGAAATCAGGTGTACCTAATCGGTGAGCTTAGAACGGGATATGTTCTAAAGGGGCTTTCATACCTTCCGATCAACTATCTTAACATTAATTGCAACCCATGCGAGGGCATTCGACCATTTTCCGAATACATGGTATGAGGCGTTCCCCTAATTCCTATTCGCTTGCTGAACTACAAAATCAATGGCGTTTCCATTTGATTAGAGGTCGAAGCAAGTTGATCACTCAGACGGTTGAAATAACTTTGTCAATAGAAACCTACCGACCTAAAAAGTTTTTAAGCATATACTGTGACTATGGGTTTTGTAGTTTTCGAAAAATCGCTAATTTAATTTAAAAAA